AAATGATTTTGAAAATTTTATACTGTTTTTTTTTTTTTTTGGAAAATTCGAAATTTCTATAAAATCAAAGTGGGGTGTTACAACTGAACTCCAATCTCGTCCCCATGGCTCGGTGCAACGTCCTCCAGAACTGACAGGTGAACTTGGGATCTCGATCAGAAACAATCTCCACGGGCACTCCATGAAGCTTAACAATGTCCTTGACGAACAAATCGGCGTAATCACTCGCCTTCATGGTCGTCCGGACTGGCATAAAATGGGCAGACTTCATAAGGAGATCCACTATCACCCAAATCGAATCATGCCCGGCCCTCGATCTCGGCAGTCCAACCAAGAAATCCATGGTGATGCACTCCCACTTCCACTGGGGAACCTCAAGGGGCAGCAACAACCCTCTCGATTTCTGATGCTCAGCCTTCACTTGCTGACACACCAGACACCCATCCACGAACTTCGCTATCTGCCACTTCATGCCACGCCACCAGAAAGACTTCTTCAAGTCATGATACATCTTAGTGCTACCAGGATGGATGGTGTACGGAGCACTATGGGCCTCTCTCAAAATCTCCCTTCGCAGTACCCACACCTTCAAAACACAAAGTTTACCCTCGAAGACCAAGGCCCCATCAGATGCGACTGCGAATCCACCAACTTTACCGACTTCGGACAACTCCCTCATCCGGCATAAGAAACGGTCATTCGGTTGCTCGGCGACTATCCTCTCTCAAAGAGTCGGTCCTACAACCAAAGAGGCTAACACGCCCCCGGCTGTCGAAGTCGACTCCACTGCCTCTAGCTGTAATCGCTCGAACTCCCGAAGAAGGACATCCTGCCCGGTAAACAAGCAAGATAGCTGGTCATAACTCCTCCGACTAAGGGCATCGACTACCACATTAGCTTTCCCAGGGTGATAGCTAATGGTGCAGTCATAGTCCTTGACCAGCTCCAACCATCTACGCTGCCTCATGTTTAGCTCCTTCTGAGTGAATATGTACTTCAAGCTCTTGTGGTCGGTAAAGATCTCACACTTGCCTCCATAGAGGTAGTGCCGCCAAATCTTCAAGGCGTGGACAACTGCAGCTAACTCGAGATCATGAGTGGGGTAGTTCTGCTTGTGAGGCTTCAGCTGCCTCCAAGCATAGGTTACGACTTTCCCATGCTGCATAAGGACACATCCCAAACCCATCTTCGAAGCATCACTATAGATGGTGAAATCCAAAGTAGGGTCGGGTATAGATAGGATAGGCGCGGTAGTGAGTCTCCTCTTCAACTCTTGGAAACTCTCCTCGCACTGAGGACTCCAATCGAACCTCACGGCCTTCTTCGTAAGGTTAGTCAGTGGCTGGGCTATCTTCGAGAAGCCCTCGATAAACCTCTAGTAGTATCCTGCTAATTCCAGGAAACTACGAACATCCACGGCACTTCTTGGGGTATCCCATCTGCTCACCGCCTCAATCTTGTTGGGATCCACCTCAATGCCTCGAGTTGTCACAATGTGGCCAAGAAATGCCACGCGGTTCAGCCAGAATTCGCACTTCGAGAACTTAGCATACAACTTCTCGCGATGAAGAGTCTCCAGCACAATCCTCAGATGATCTTTGTGCTGATCGATATCTCGGGAATAGACCAGAATGTCGTCGATGAACACAATGACGAACTGGTCCAGGAAAGGATGAAAGACCCTATTCATAAGGTCTATGAGAACGGCTGGGGCATTGTTGAGTCCGAACGGCATGACTACGAACTCATAGTGGCCATAGCGGGTACAGAAAGCAGTCTTGGAAATATCTGACTCCCAGATCTTCAGCTGATGATAGCCAGAACGCAAGTCGATCTTTGAGAAGACGCTGGCTCCTCTCAGTTGGTCGAAAAGGTCCTCAATACGGGGAAGGAGGTACTTGTTCTTGACTGTAAGGCCATTCAACTCCCGATAGTCAACGCACATGCACATAGATCCGTCTTTCTTCTTCACGAATAGGACGGGCGCACCCCACGGCGAAACAATCAGACGAATAAAACCGAGCTTGAGCAACTCCTGGATCTGGGTCTTGAGCTCTTGAAGCTCTTTCGGCGCCATACGATAAGGGGCCATAGAAACGGGGCCGGCTCCGGGAATTAGGTCAATGGTGAACTCCACCTGACGGTCTGGCGGTCCTCCGGGTAAATCATCAGGAAAGACGTCGAGGTACTCGCAAACAATAGATACTCTCTCGGGCACCCACTCATCAACATCGTCGGATACCATGGAAACAAGATAGCCTTGACAGCTACCCTTGGAAAGGCTCTTTCTAGCTTGCATAGAAGAGATGACCCGAGGCACGGTCCTCGAACTCACCCCAAAGATTACAACGGGCTGATCGGAAATGGGATAGAGGGTGACTTCACGCTCCTGGCACCGGATGTCGGCTCAGTAACGGGTGAGCCAGTCCATGCCCAAGATCACGTCAAAGTCTCGCATATCAATTACATAGACGTCGACCTCCAGAACTCGACCACCAATACAGATAAGAAGATTGCGAACCACTGAGTCAGAGATAATAATTTTTCCCGAGGCTAAACTAACCTCGAGAGGATCACAAGCATGCACGGTGCCAATAGATAAAGCCTCCAAGAAACGAGAAGAAATAAAAGAATGGGTAGCACTGTTATCACATAAAGCAAAGACATGCACATGGGATATCGAAAGCATTCCGGACATAGTACCTGCAGTGCGGGCGACCTCATCATGGGTGATGGTATAGACTCGGGCCTGACCCCCAGCCCTCTGTTGGAACGGTGGGGGCTGCTGATGCTGCTGATGAGGTGGCAGTGGGGGAAGCTGCTGCTGACGCTGCTGGGGAAGGGCCTGCTGGTGCTGTTGTCTCTTCGGTTCGGGGCAGACACTGGCATAGTGACCCAGACGGTTGCAGTTGTAACATGATCGCTGGTCAGCTAAGCACTCTCCAGTGTGGAACCTGCCGCATTTAGGGCACCTCAGCTGTTGACCCTGAGTGGGTCGGTCGTCACGTCTGCCGAAGTTCCCTTTCTTTCCCTTCTTCTTGTTCTGATAATCGGACTTCCTCTGGCCGAGCTAGAGCCGGGCGGCACAGATGAGATGGGCAGAGCGTACTGAGCAACGGTCTGAGAAGGCTGGGAGGCATGATAATAAGAAGGAACGAGAGCTAACGGAATGAGACAGCTCCCGACCTCCTGAACCCGACGCACGGTATCTGCATAGGACATCAGTCCGTGACTTCCCACCAGTTCAGGGATCCTCTGATTGAGCCCCTTGAGAAATTTGCGGGCCTTCTTGGCATCGGTGTTCACTGCATCGCCCGCAAAAAGGCACATGCGGGTTAAAGTGCGGATATACTCATCCACTGTGGAGCTGCCCTGCTGCAAGTGGTAGAACTCATGCTCCATCATATCCCAAAAGCTCTGGGGAAGGAACTTGCTGCGCACCATCACTTTCATTTGCTCCCAAGTGAGAGCATGAAGCTCCGCCTCTGGCCTCCGAGCCCAGTGGTCAATCCACCAGTCGGAAGCATCCTCCTTCATCTGATAAGCTGCGAGAGATACCCGCTGACGGTCCGGGAGGGGGAGTACAGCAAAAATCTTATCCAGCTCTTTCATCCACTCCAGCACCGTTGTGGGGTTCTCAGTCCCCGCGAAAGTTGGTGCATTCATCCTCTGAAACTGGACTATAAGCTGAGTGAGGTCCATGGACAGAGGGGCCTGGTGCTGACGGGGCGGAGAAGGAGTCGGGGATGGCTGACAGTTACGGTTGTTGTTGCGAGTATTCATACTTCTACATTGACTAAGCCGAACAAAGTTTAGCACAAAAACAAACAAAATAATCAATATTACAGAAGTCTAGAGTTCGCCAATAAACACTAGAGTTCGATTAAATCAAGGTGGATAGGTCCTAAGCCCCAAAAATAACAATTACACTACAAGTAGTCTCATTACCACATGTGTTCCATTTACATATCAAGTATTTTCATTAATACTTAAATCAAACATACCTTAAGTAGCGCGGAGTGACGGAGACGAGTGGTCATAACACAAGGTCTAAACACATAATCACATATACGCCAGTCTACAGAAACGCAGACTGGCTCTGATACCAAACTATAACACCCCACTTTGATTTTAAAGAAATTTCAGACTTTCTAAAAATCAGAACAAATTTTTCGAATTCATTTTCGAAATCAAGGGCATTAACCAAACAATTTACTTAGTCCAAGTATTATCTGGACTCACGGGGATTCATAAACCCAATTTTTCACAAGGTTTCATTAACCTGATTCACACCTCAACATAATATCCCATATGAACAACTGAAACTTCATAAATAAAACACCATGATTATTCAAGGTTCATAAAAGGTTTTCCAAAATATTTTCAAACATCAAAACATAGTTCGAAAACATTTTTTACATGTCCAAAACATAGAAAGGTTCATAACGACCATATTATTGAAACAGAAGCAAAACGAAACAAATAATAGACCACCACTCGCACTTTGTCCCGTCACCCAGCCACTGCTTAACCTGCATCCGTGAAGAGCAGGTGGGAATGAGCACAAATGATAAAGTAGTGCTCACTACTATGCACATAATAACATGTAAAGATGGTATGGTCGCAGCATGAATATAAATCAATCATCATCATGTCTCATCTCCTAACAATCACAACAATAACTCACTCATGTGCACATTTATCATTAGCCGCGGAAAGGGGATGCATAAACCCTAACTACGGGAGTGCGTGCCACTGTAACGGACACAACCTTTCATTAGGTCTTAAGGAGACTTGCCTTGCAAGGGCAACCGTACCGTAACTCGACGGGGACAACCGTACCGACGGCCGTAACAGCTCACATCGGTAGGCCACATGGTTAACATTCATACATTGGTAATACCAACTAAACAATAAACAACACGTATGGCATAGACAATTTTATAAGTAAACCCACCTGGAAATTTCGGTAGAAATTAGCACACAATCACAAGTACATAGGATGAGGGCTCGACTCCTCAAACACCTACATTTAAGCGAGATAAAATATATCAATAATCTATCTCACTACTCGAATTTAACATAAAACCCATACTTAATAAAAAATTAAGACTTAAGGGTTTTAACCGGATTTTTCGTGGACTTGGAACTCTCTCATTTTTGAAAAATAGGACTCGGAGAATTAAATTGGAGTCTCGGGACTTAAATAATTTTTCCCAAATTTTTTTCATTTTGAAAATATTTTAAAAAATTTAAAATCGGTCTTAAAACGGGCATCCGAAACACAAGAAAGGCTTAAACAAAACAAACTATGCCAGACTGGCAATTGGGCTAAAAGGCTGCCAAGAAAAATTGGCCTTATGCACCATTGGGCCGCCAACTGGGCCGCAAATAAGCCTGCAACAAGGCTTGGGAGAACTCGGGCCAAGCGCGGGCCAGGACCGGGTTCGCGGGCCAGCAGCTGGGAGGTAAGATCGGGCCGAACGCGGGCCAAGTCCGGGCTGGACAGCCCGCGCTGCTGGGCTGGGGATTAGAACAGAAAAAAATAAAGGCTACATACAAGGCTGGGGTTCGAACTCCTATCCTCAATCAAATACTCAAGGCATTGAACCACTGTGCTATAACTTGGATGATGTTTTAAATGGAACATTTTTAAATAAAACAAAGCCTGCCGATTTAAAATCTGGACGAGCAGAATACCAACAGAGACCCAGAACAGTTTTGCTCTGGACACCAAAACGGCAATTATACGGCTCGAAAACGATAAAAAGGAAACTTCAAACTTAAAGGATGTTACCACAGCAACATAACGACATACACATTTCTGAAATGGAGAGTTCCAATTACCTACGAAAATCCACGAATAAACCAAATATACACAAATAATTAAGTGAACCAAAAACAATCCGACTTCAAATCAACTTTCGCTATACCGAACACATCATATATATAACGCGTGATATATGAAAACGATCGTATTAACAGGAGGATTAGAATAAGTTACCCGACTTCGGGAAACTACAAATTATTTAACGGGAAACGGGCCAAACAATGGGACAGTCGAACGGCTTTGAGCTTGAACCTTCGAGCACGGGTCTGAGGCTGTTGGACAGGAACGATGATGGTGTGGGAGGGTCGATTGCTGATTGCCGGAATAAGGTGCTTCCCGGAGGTTGCTTCTGTTGGAAGGACTCGCCGAAAAGCAGGTCGCGTGATGAACCCGTCGGAGTTCACGATATTCTGGATGTTCACGGTGGCCGGGAGAAGCGGCTAGGGACGGCGGCTCGCTGAAAACAGCGTGGTGATCGCTGGAAGCTAGCCTTCTCTGATAACGCCGATGATAGGAGAGCTCGCCGGGAGCGGCAGTTCTCTATTTTTTTTTTTAACTAAGAGCTCTGCGATTTGAGTAGAAGAAGGTGAAAGGTGAATGAGGAATGAATCTCTGATGACCGAGTATAAATTGAGAGAGAGGGGGAACGTGCGAATTATCCACGAGAGATTCGCACCTGAAATTTGAATGTGAAGACTCGGTCTGTCGCTGTAATTTCGCGAGAGGGAGAGAGAGATCGGTGAGAGCGATGGAGATAAGTTTCCAGCTACAATTTGGGCCGGTAAAAGAACGGGTCTAAATTCAAATGGGCCATAATATAATATGGAAGTGGGCCTAAGATTCAACTCCAATTGGGCTGAAAGAAATAAACCATAATTGGAGCTGGAATATCACTCAAATTGGGTCGGAACCAATTTAATCGGACCGAAAGAAATACCACGCGATAAAAAAGTTTGCCCGATTCGATTTAATAAAATAAAACCGGAATAATTATATTTATAATACACACAATTTATTTATTAATAATACATATTAATCACATAAAATCAATTAGGAAATTTAGACAATTAAACAAGTAATGACAAATAAATACATAAATAATAATAACATTAGTAATAATAATAATAACAACAATAATAATAATACTACAATAATCCAATTTATTCATAAACGAACGGGGCGTTACAGAGCGTGTGTGCGCGTCGGGTGCTGAGCGGGAGATGCGGGAGGCAGGCTGCACAGACGGACGATGGCAGCTTCAGGCGTGTACGTGCACGCGGTGTGCCTCTCCTATGCCGAGGCGGACTGGCGCTGGGAAGTGGACGCACGCGGGCGTGCAGTTCGCATCTCTGGGCGCGCAAGGAATATCGCGCGCGGTTGCTGGGAGCACGGGCGGACGTCGACTGGTAGCGCGGATGGATGGCGAGCAGGCAGGTGGACGCTGGAAGCTCGCGGGCGTCGATGGGGCGTTGCTGGGCGTCGCTGGCAGGGCCTGGGCGATACGTGGCTGCTTGCGGTAGTGGGCGGTTTCGATCGGCTGGGCTCGGGCGACGGCTGGTGGCGGTAGGCGATTTCTGGCAGCGGCTCTCGGCGGCGATAGGCGGCAAAGAGATGATGATGATGACCAGAAATATATATGTATAAAGGCTCGAATAATTGTACCCAAAAGCCCTTCTAACGGATTACCTAAAAACCTATTTCGATTAAACTTGGTGGAGCGTTTAATCGAATCTCCCTAACTCTCGAACGATGTAATTCTCTCGTGTATGTAGAAGAGAAAATCGGCCAAGACAACACTGTAGGAGAGGTTGGGAAATGGTGTATTTATAGGCTCCATTAGGGACCTTAAGGAGGTGCTAAATATGGGCTTATTCCATTAGGCCTAGGAAACCTAATTCTACTCCAATACTAATTTAATGTAGGAAGGAAATCTCCTACTAATCTCCTCCTTCTAGAAGACTCCTAAGTCTCCTAACATTAGAGAAGATCCTTGTAGGAATATCTTTCCTAATTAAATTAATAACCATGGAATAAAATTAATTCTTAATTTAGGAAGCCTAATTTTACTCCAGTTAATAATATAATGTAGGAAATATATTTCCTACTAATCTTCATCTTCTAGAAGACTCCCAAGTCTCCTAATCCCAAGAGAAGATTCTAGTAGGAATTTTATTCTCCTAATTAATTAATTAATATGGAATAAAATTAATTCATATTTAATGGAATTAAATAATAAAACATCCCACTAGAGTAATATTATTGCTTTCCCCATTTAGCCACTATTTTACCAATAAAATCGAGCCTCCATGATTAAATAATATTAATCCGATTGATCGATTTACCTCCCTATGTTTAAGATATAACGTCCGTTGATTAATTAAATTATTGACAAAATAATTAATCAACTTCTATTAATTTTCGAAATTAGTATCACTCAGACTTTAACCATTATGTCAGACAATCGTCTACCTGCAGGGTTTAACATAATGTTCCTTCCTGAGCTCATTTCGGGGACGTCATCAATCCAGCGCACTGGAACATAGTAACCGTAAATAATTTATAATAGCACATCATATAATTATTCTTACTTACCAAAATACCTTGTATGTCATCCTATTAAAATAGGAATCATTTGGTAAATCAAATAAATAAGAAATAAAAATATATGCCTATTTTATATTATCTTACAGCTTAAGAGAACGCATCAATCACGGAAGGTCTAGGTTACGACAATGGTCAGTGAGTCTCATATCCTTATCCTTTCGTGGTCCTGTTCAATACTTAACATAAGTGCTCGTGTAATCCTTCAGTCAAAGACCAACTGAATCGAGAATACACTACAGTCTTTTTCCAAGTGGGGTCTCACTGCCAGTCTAGACTGTGAACAAATAGTTTAGTCTTATAAGGAACCGATAGGTGATCTTTCTATTCTAAACTCTTCGAACCACACTAACTCAATATAAGACATGGAGTATGTATTGCATAAATAAATAAACTGCAAACATATATACTTTGACCGAAACATGATGGCCGGATCAAAATGAAATTGATAGAAACTGTAAAACATCGCTTTTACAGCATACCTCTAACACAGGATCAGTGGAGGACTACGAGCGGGAGTTCACCCGCATGAGCGCTTTCGCCCCCCATATGGTAGACAACGAACTGAAGAGGGCCAACAAGTTCCGGGATGGACTGCACCCGACCCTCCGTATGCACTTAGCCAGCCATGAGGATCTTCCCTATGGTGAGACTGTTATCCGAGCCATTCATCTGGAGAGTTATCAGACTCTCGATGCTTCTGTCCCTTCTACTCAGCTAGTTCATCTCATCTCCTCTGTGCTGCCCGGCACTAGTTCGGGCAAGAGGAAGGCAGATTCCCACCGGAACAACAGGGAGGGAAAGCGTAGCGGGAACGACCGACATGGTGAGCGCCCTGCCAACCAGGACCAGAATCCGAGGTGCCTTAACTGTGGCCGTCACCATGCAGGAGAGTGCTGGCACAATTAGAAGGTCCGCTTCAACTGTCATCGCCCAGGACATTTTCGTAGCACGTGCTCTGAACTACAGGGACAACAACCATTTCAGCAGCAACAGCCCAATCAGCAGTCCCATCATCAGCAGCTTCCCCCGCCGCCACCTCAACAACAGATTCAGCAGCAGCATCAGCAGGCCCGACCGAGGTTCGGCAAATGAAGCCGAGCTGAACCAAGATTGAGCAGTTGATCGAATGTCGGATTAGAGATGATTGTTTGTTCTTTCGTTTGTTAGAAATTCATTTCTCTAAACTTTTTCCGAACCTTGTTATTTCCATTTTTCTTGCAAGACAAGTTCGAATTTCGTTAGAGACTCTTATTGGTTATTTTGAATTTTGCCTTGAGACTTCTATTGGCTATTCAATTTTCGTTATTTGGAAATTTCTCTTGTCATTTCTTTCCTCGCGTAGGATGAGATTTCTCATGGAGTTAAGAGTCTTAAATTTCTGTTGGACCTTATTTGTTCTCGTAATTTAGGAGTTTTGTTTCATGACATCTTCAAGTCGATTCAAAGGGTTCAAGAGAAAGGATAATGCTACATCTCTTGAGAATACCTAGGCCTCGAGCTAGGCCGCGATCAATCATTCATTTGTAATACAGTGTCATACCGAGAGATTAAGGAGGAGTTTCAGGCCAGTTTTATGATTGTTATGAAATAGAAGAAGTCTTTTAAGAAGGATAACCAAGAGTTGTGGGGAACATCGTGAGTAATCAGCCACTTTACTCATAATGAAGTACGGTACCCTGACAGCAAAGTCGGAATTCTTGGATATTGTAGTTTGGATTAGGGTCGCAAAACACTATGGAATTTTCGATCTTCGTGTACGTATCAACACTGGGAGATGTAACAGCTGATGAGGAATGAACCGTAGCTACTGTAAGCGGGCGGTGTAGGTGTACTACGTACTGGTGCCACGCACAAGCGTGCCACGCTCGATGATGCATCTCGAGTCGTAGGAAGTGTCGTGCGTAGTGTGCTGCACGTAGCATGCCGCGTTGCCGCATGCCAGGCCAGCCTATCATGCCACAGTTGCCAAGTCTCCAGCGTGTAAATGCGTATCGATTCCGGAAATTTTTTTTCACTTGTAACGCAATGACCTAAGTTTTGGAGGACTAATGGGGTGAAACAACTTTGGAAGTTTTATTATTAAAGAGTCGTTGTACTTAATTGTATGTGGTTACCACGTGAAATGAGGAGCTACGTGGTAAGAGAAGAGGCTACGGTCAGGTTATATTAGGTTTATTATGATTCTCGACCAAGTCTATGGCTTAGCCTGATAATTAACTCCACCACTAGAACTTGCGAGGATGCATGGCACGTTCTGTGCCTCATGATGAGGGAACGTGTGCGTGACCTCGAGGTATGTGTGTGTTTTGTGACGAGTTGCGTGATAGGCAGAACCCTACCTGTATGGAGGTACTGGTGACCTATTGGAACAGAGGGTCCATTAAGGAAAGGCCGGGAGGGGTATTCGACGAAGTCCGGTAGGAGAAGTCAAGTCGAGGGCGAGACGACTTGGAAGAGAGGAGACCGAGATTCAGAGGGAATACCGGATTTCATGTTTTGATGATCTCTCCTTTGTTCTTGGTGGTATTATTAGCGTAGATGTTTTGTTTTCGAATTCCGAGGCCGGAATTCATTTTAAGGTGGGTAGACTGTAATGCCCCGTTAGTTTATGGATAATTTGAATTGTTTATTATATTTAATATTGCTTATTTATTTTAACATTATTAGTTGTTTTAATGCCTAATTGCTATTATTGATAATATTATTTTTACTATTATTATTATTTGATGTCCACTTACCTATTTGTCCTAAATTGCTATTAAATGTATAAATCATATTAATTGTCTTATTATTATTCTTGTTAATTGGTTAATTGCTAAATTGCTAATAAATATATATTAAATATTAATGTGTATTATATATTATTTATATATATATATATATATATATATATAATTATCCAGTTTTATTTTAGTTACCGAACGTTTATGTCGAGCCTCAATTTTTTCTTTTATTATGGACCGAGAAGAGAGCCGATTCGTGAACCCGTGCCCTCGGCCCGAAGGACCCGCACCGCGCCTAGCCTACCCGATCCTTCCCTTGAACTGCTTGAGGATTAAGTCAAGACTTAACCCTAATACTATATAAGGAAGAGATTTTAACCCTCAGCTCGAGTAATTATCTCCCTCAGCGGAAAAAAATATAAGTCCCGCAGCCATCCCCCTCCCCTTCCAATCTCTACATCGCGCTCTCTTCCTCTCTCTCAATTACTGATCATCGTCGCCGCAAAAACTTGTTCCTCCGTCGTCGCTCATGCTGCTGACTGGCCGTGAGACGTTTGAGCCCCGTTCACTGCTAACAGCACACAGACCATCATCACCGCAGCGCCATCGCCGCGGACCAGCATCATCACGTCGCCACCATCATTAATCACCGGCCATCGTCATGCACTGCTCCCGGACCGACGAGAGTTCTTCCCCTCCAGCAGGTCCCGATATTCCAGTGAGAACCCACCCCGCGTGCAAACAGTAGGAGTCCGTTGCACCACCGTGATCGCTGCAACCTCCGTTCACATGCACGCAGATCACCGCCGAACCCCTCCATAACCGTCGCGAGCTCCATCTGTTGCACCTCTCCTCCAGCAGCACCTTTGCAATCAGCTTTCCAGCATGAACCAGCAGCCCCGACCTCCCGCTGTTATCCCGCGTGAAGTCCCAACGACCTGACGTGCGATACCCGCGAGCCCGAGTCTCCCTCCCCGTTGTTCGTGCATTGCCGGGCATTTTCCCTTGCTGACCATCGTGGTCGGGACCCGTTCATTGCTGCCCGGCCCTTGCTGATCACTCGCACAACCTTCGAGTGAGCCGAAGCTTAGCCGTCGAGTCCCGTCAGTGCATTCAAGAAGCCATTTCAGCCCCGCTTCAATTCTTTCGTTCGAACGTTATCCCGAGAATGGTACCTAGGCTTGAACTTCGTCTCATTTAATTTTGTGATTGTGTTATTGTGATATATTACATGTAAGTATGCTGAAGGCGTGAATTTCAAGCTAATTACGTACCTTAGATAAGTATTTGTGAAACTTTTGATATATATATATGCTATTTGGATACCAAAGTGATTGTCGTCAC